TTTTTACAGTTGTAAGTTCTATCAGGCTTAAAAAAACACCCTTTATAATAAAAATCAATTATTTGAGATTAATAATATAATATAATTACATATAACATAATGATAAAAAGGATGTTTGTAAAACTTCTGTGACCAAATGGAAAGCACTCAACATATCCCATTAGGCACTATCATGAAAGGAACCTAAAATAATGTTTACCAAAAGTCCACGATACCACATGATACGTAGGACGTAGTCATAATATTGCATTCTTTCGGCTTAACATTTGACGTATGCACAGCACCGCTATATTCATTAGGAGCCAATTTTTCATAAGTTCATGCTAAGAAGTTTGCAGTGTAATATACATACATATGTAGTGGTATATACATATAGAGTCTGTGAAATAATAACAACATGAAACATGGTATATCCTAAATTTTATAATTTTTAAATAGAACTAAGTAAAGTTTAGTATTTTAATTATCAGATTTTAAATTTGTTTATATTACCGCCGAAGAATAAACGAATAAAGGGCTAAATTCTAATTGGCTGTGGCAATAAATATGTGCAAAAACACTATGCCTATTTACATTATATTATATTCTATTATGTGTGTGTGTGTGCGTGCGTGTGTGTGCGTATTAATATATTATAATTCTGCATAATAAAATTTATTCTTGACCATTTAGAATTCTATATAAAAAATCAATTCTTTTCAGGATTTTACAATTCCTTTAGAAATCTTAAAGAATAAGGAAACAAAAATACTATACAGTATTATATCTTGTGAAGACATTGATTTTGATAACAATGAAAAATTTATTCATTGTTGGGATGGTAATGATTTTTTTGAACTTACTTCATTTAAATATCCTGAAGATATTCTTAAATATTGTACTGAAAAAGATCATATAATGGATGGGATGGAAATCGTTGGAAGAAGTATGTAGCCTTTTTTTGATTTTATTCTGTTTTTGTCTAGAATAATATTATCTTATTCACATTCAATATTTTATGTAATTTATTTAGAGTACAATCTTTATCTCTGTGGTGGAGAATTTCTTCCAACAGAAATATATAACAAAAATGTGTGGCGTTACTCCTTGATATCTAAAAAATGGTTCCATGAGACTACGTAAGATTCCTAATGCATTCTTAAATAAATGAAAAGAGTAGAATAAAATAAATAATATGTTATTTGTTAAAATAAT